CCCTCACGGCCTTCTCTCTGGGTGCCATGTCCACATTTCCTTCCTCTGATACGGGCCCACCCTAACCCAGTGTGGCCTCATTGACTCAGTTACCTGTGCAGAGACGCTCGTTATATGCACAAAAACTCTATTTCCAAAGGAGGTCACATTCTGTGGTTTTAGGTGAGCATGAATTTTGGAGGGACACTGGTCAACCCAGGAAAGGGCGTGTGGCCCCTGGCCAGCGTGGGGATGCACCTTCTGTGGTCTCACCTGCACCCCGGCCCCATGTCCTCCCAGGCAGCCTAGGGCACAGACACTCCCCCAGCTCGCAGTGCCCACAGCCAGTCCTGGGCCTCCTGCCTCGTCACTCCCGATGAAAAGAGGGCTCTGTCTTCTGTCCCATTTAAGGCTAAACATCCTTAGGAAGAGACCCTAGTCCCAGGCCTCCACCTGCTGACCCCGATGTCTGCTGGGGCTCCTTAGCCTCCAAGAGACTGTGCAGAGACAACCCCCAAGACGCCCAGGGTTCCTCCCAGGCACGTGGACAGGGCTCGTCCTGGGACCCCAGCACTGCCCCTGGGCTAACGGGCCTCCGCCTCCACACACAGGTCTGCGCTGTCGCTCGGGCTCTGAGGATGAGGGCAGCTCACAGGAGGCACGTGGCCAGAAGATCTCCTGGCAGGCGGCCATCTTTAAAGTGGGAGACGACTGCCGGCAGGTGTGGGGCCAGGCCTGCCTCTCCCTGAGGCTCTGGGTATACTTAGGGGTTAAGCCTCCACGCAGCAAAGCAAACCACTGTATCCCCCGTTCAGTCCCGGCGTGGTGGGGTAAGTCGGCTTTCTGCTGAACCGAGAGACCTCTGGCAGCTCCCCTCCCACTACACACCCGCTGTGCCCCTTATTCCCACCCCCAGCCGGGCAGCATGGCCTCAGGCTCAGCCCAGTGCACAGGACTGCTGCTCAGCTTAGCCTCTGCCCCTCCTCACTGGACAGACCGCCACGTGTCCATGAGCTGGAATGCAGGAGGCTGGCTGACCACTTCCATCTGCTTGGTCCCCAGGACATGCTGGCCCTGCAGATAATCGACCTCTTCAAAAACATCTTCCAGCTGGTCGGCCTGGACCTCTTTGTGTTCCCCTACCGGGTGGTGGCCACCGCCCCTGGGGTACGTTCCCCACAAAGAACCCAGATGGCTGCCCCTAGAGGCCGCAGGCCTTGGCACTCAACCCTTCCTCCCTAGTGTGGGGTGATCGAGTGCATCCCTGACTGCACCTCCCGGGACCAGCTGGGCCGCCAGACGGACTTCGGCATGTACGACTACTTCACGCGCCAGTACGGGGATGAGTCCACGCTGGCCTTCCAGCAGGTGACCAGCAGGGCCAGCAGCCCGCCTGTGGGCCACACCCGGCTTCCCCCATCTCCCTGCTTTTCTGTGTCCTTGCACATTTGGGGGTACAACCAGGGTGCCCGTGACCTTCACTGGGCTTCAGGGGAACCTCAGGGAGGGCTCCCTCGGAGAAAGCTGGTTCTGGGTATGGGAAGGAGGGTCTGCTGATCCTGAACCTCCCCAGATGGAGCTCCTCGTCACCCCCACCGCTAAGGTCTGGCTTACTGACTCGAGCTCCCCTCCAAGGCGGGGGCCGGAGCTGGGGGAGCGCCCGCAGGCCCCAGGAGGCGGGGCTGCCGGGGGCCGTCAGCGCTGGGCCCTGTCCACACAGGCACGCTACAACTTCATCCGAAGCATGGCCGCCTACAGCCTCTTGCTGTTCCTGCTGCAGATCAAAGACAGGCACAACGGCAACATCATGCTGGATAAGAAGGGCCACATCATCCACATCGGTCAGCCGGGCCCCAGGGCCCCCCTCCTCGCCCTGCACCCACAGAGCCGCGGCCTGGCCGCCCAGCCAGGAGGGTTGGGGTCGGGGCTCAGTTCAGCTCTGAGGCCGGAGCTGCTGGCCAGAGGCTCTCCTGCCCCAGTAGCAGCCAGGCGGCAGGGCCCGGGTGCCAGGGCTGGAAACGCGCCAGGCAGCGCTGCGCTCTGTGCCTCGGCTCAGCCTCGCCTGCCCCAGCCATGCGCCCCATGCCACCCCCATGCCGCCTCGCCAGCCCCGAGCCCCGGCTGAGACGCCCTCCCCCATGCGCTGGCGCCCCTACCCCCTCCGTCAGCTTCTGGGGTTTTGCAGACTTCGGCTTCATGTTTGAGAGCTCGCCCGGCGGCAACCTTGGCTGGGAGCCTGACATCAAGCTGACAGATGAGATGGTGATGATCATGGGCGGCAAGATGGAGGCCACGCCCTTCAAATGGTTCATGGAGATGTGCATCCGCGGCTACCTGGCCGTGCGGTGAGCCCGGGGAGAGTGGGCAACCTGGCACCTGCCCAGGCACCCCCATTCAGCCCCTTTGTGGAATGGAGGGACAGTGGTTCAGGGAGAAGGGACGGAGGTGCTGGAGGCCACCTGGTGGCCCCAGTGTGCCCGGGTCTTGCCTTCCTGTGGCCCCTGCCCACCTTGCCTGGGCGTTTCCTGCTCTGGGCCTCGAGTGCCGCTGTGTCCTGCCACACCTTGGGGCCCCCAGAGTGCCCTTCCCCCGCATCTGAGCGCCGGCCACCCCACTGGCTGCACGCCGCAGACCCACTGTCCTGGCTGCATTGACGCCTGGGCTCCAGCCTGGAGTCTGTGGGAGTCTTGCCTCATGCCTGATTGGCACCCACAGCCTGGCAGGGAGAGGAGGGGCAGAGCACCTCTGTGTGGCACAGAAGTCTGCAGGCCCTGTGGGGGGACACAAAGCAGGGCTGCTGATGGGTGTTCGCAGCCTGGCCTGGGCACTGCAGGGGCTGCCTGGGGACCTGGAAAAGGCAGGGAGTAGCCAGCACTTGGGGACATTTGGGGACAGCAGCTGGGCTGCAGGACTGCCAGCAGGGCCGCCCTGCTGAGGCCAGCCTTTGTCCCCTCCCCTCCCCAGGCCCTACATGGATGCAGTCGTGTCTCTGGTCACCCTCATGTTGGACACCGGCCTGCCGTGCTTCCGCGGCCAGACAATCAAGCTCTTGAAGTAGGTCCTGGGCACACGCACAGGCCGCTTGAGGACCATTGTTCCCTCCGAGGTGGGGAGGACAGACAGGTTTCTTGGCGAGGTGCTGTCAGCAGACTGGGTTTGTCAGATGCCCTGGCTTCCTCCGGCCACAGAGGAGGACCTACCAGAAGCCCCCTCTTGTCTCAAGGATGCAGTGGCAGCCCCCACAGTGGGGAGCCCAAGGCCACGACTTGGCCCTTGCTAGTCCCCCGTCCTGGGGGGGCGGGGCAGGCCCAGCTGAGACCACTGTCCCCATCACAGACACTGCCCCCGGGAGGGAGCATTCCTGGGCCTGACCCTCAGCCGCACCAACTCCCACACGCCAAGCTGAGTGCGGCCTCCAGAGCAGACCCGTCCTGAGGGGAGGGAGCCCCCCCTGATGCCGCCCTCCCCTCCAGGCACAGATTCAGCCCCAACATGACTGAGCGCGAGGCTGCCAATTTCATCATGAAGGTCATTCAGAGCTGCTTCCTCAGCAACAGGCGAGTCACCCCCAGCCCTGCCCTCCTGCATCACCCCCTGCACCCCAGTGTTCTCTGGGCACTGCATGGGGCCACACTTGGGCCAGGTGACAAGGGTCCTGCTGTCCCAGGAGACTGGGTCCCGTGCACCCTGAAGGGAACCCTCCCAGGGCAACGGATGCTGGTTTACAGGGACTGGGGACAAGCTGAGGGGAACACTTGGCCGGAAACCATGCCCACCTGGGACCAGGCGTGGAGGCCAGGGAGGCAGGTGGCCTGGCGACGGGGGCGCGGGTAGCAGAGTGAGTGGTGGTGGAGTGGAGGGGAGTTCTGAGAGGCTTCGGCCCACGTCTGCCCGCTCCACCGCCGTGGCTGCCTAGGTGGTGAGCGACAGGAGGCAGGGTGTGCGTAGCTGTCACCACTGCTGTGACAATTGGTGGCGCCATGAGGAGATAGGGCCCCAGGCTTCGAGGGCGGGCTCCGGAGGATATGACGTGGGCACCATTGAGGTTTTGGGCTGAACAACTGGGTGGACATGAACCCAGCAGGTAGCTGAGGGGCACCACCCACATGGTTGCTGAGGCCCGGGAGGCACAGAGACTGTCGGGGCCCCAGGGAAGATGGAGAGCTGCCCCTGGGTGGGCTGCGTGGGGTGCGGGCTGCGCTCACGGCACGGGAGGGGCAGAGAACTGGGACGCAGCTCAGGGCAGGGTGGGGAGCACGCCTGTCAGAAGGCAGGACATGGAAGGGCTCTTCTCCGTGCTGTGCTGACAGGTTGGGGGGCTGAGCACATTCACTCACTCGGTCGCCACATGCCAGGCTGAAGGGCTACAGTGGCATCTGGCATAAGGGCAGCTGCAGACTCACTCCCAGGCCCAGGGAGGCCAGCTGAGAGTGAGATGGCCTCCGAGCGGACTGAACAGGGGACGTGGCGGAACAGGACTCACAGGCCTTGGCCACTGATGGGAATGGAGTGTCTCAGGACGAGGAGAGGCTGGTGGGGGCGGCCAGGGAATCTGCACAGTTGCAGTTTGCTGGGAGGGGAGCAGGGCCCCAGGCCCACGTGGGCTCCTTAAAGCCTCCCGTTGCCCCCCTAGGAGCCGGACCTACGACATGATCCAGTACTATCAGAACGACATCCCCTACTGAGGACGCAGGCCACCCCAGAGCCCCCCAGTCACGGGGCAGCGTGAGCCCCGGCTGCTCGGCATGTCGGTGGGGGTGGACTGCTCGTGGCCCCGCTGTCGTTTTTACAGAACAAACACGCACCCCTGCAGAGCCTGGCAGCCTGGCTTTCCAGGTGTCACATTTCCAAAGTGACAATCATCTGATGGCACTGTGCACAGGTGTGAACACACCTTGTTTGTACTGGACACACAACCAACACATTCCCTACCTGTTTCATAGGTACATGAAGTATTTTCTTGTGTATAAAAAAAGTTATATTCAACTTAAGATTTGACCAACATGAACAAAATTAAAGTGCTGTGTTGGAACTTGACTGTCAGCTTCTGTGTCAAGTGCTAAGCGCGCGGCTGAGGGGTGACGCCACTCCGCTCCCTGTCAGCGCCTGTGCCCTGGTCATGAACTTCACAAAAACAGCAGAGCACAGATGTTCCAAAAATAACACCATATCTTCCCTGCCAGCCCTCCCCCGAGGCCGACTGCCGGGGGCCCCCCTCCCTGCCGCCCGCTGCCCCCTCTGCCCTGGCCTGCCCGGCCCTCCGGTCCGTTCCCGCGCTCCGCTCCGGGCGCCAAGTCTGTGTGCAGCCCGCCGCTGGCGGCAGCCTCCCCTGACGCTCTAATTATCTTAAGCAGGTAGGAAGACCCCCAAGTTTAAAAACAGAACTGGAAATGAATCTCTGAAATAAAAGATGCAAAAGACGAGTTAAAGAGCAGGGAACGTACAGGTGAAAACCAACCGATGAAAGAACAGCGGCGTCACCAAAAGAAGCGCCAGCAAGAGCGAAGATGGGCGAGAAGCTCTAGCCGACCTCCGACGGGGGGAGAACAGCAGGTCGGCCTCAGGAAATAGAGTCCTGAGCAGCAGAAACCAAAATACGAATGAGCCAGTGTGTAAGTGAAAAGAACTAAAAATACTGAAACCAAAAGCAGGCGGGGAAGGAGGAAGAAAGAGCCGACGAGACAAGTTACTCGGCAGTAGATGCCATCTGACTCCGTCATCAGTCACGTCGGGTCCCAGCGGGCTGGCCGCTCCGGTCAACAGGCGGGCCCTGTGCACAGGGATTCTGCTGATGACAAACCCACCTTATATATAAAGTCACAGACCTAAGGCAAAAGTAAGAGGAAAAAGGACACGTAATCATGTATGAACATTTACGAGGAAAATTTTTACAGAATTCAAGGGAGAAACAGCTCCGCAGTCAGCCAGAGACTTGACCCCACTCTCCACACCTGATGGATCAGGCGAGAAGGTCGGGCGGCGGGCACAGGAGGCCTGAGCGACGGCGTCCCTGCCACCAGCAGGGCGCCGGGTCACAGCGGGTTCTCCGATACGGACTTAGGTCAGGAGTCAGCGAGTATCCGGAAGAATCCTAAATATTTAGAAAGAGTGGAACTAAAATTCCAGACAAAACACACCTCAGCCCTGAGGGAAATGACCAGTTCACATGCTTTGAGGTGGTTTTTGGGGGGATGATAGAGATGAGCCGAGTTCAGTAGAAGAGATATCAGAATATGGGGTGTAACTTTCAGAAAGATCGAATGCAAGGAAGGCCAGAGAGAACATAGAAAGGTACCGCAAACATTATAAAATGGTAGAAGTATGTTCAAGCATAATAGAAATGATCTCAAACCACACTCAAAAAGGAAGCTTGTCAAACTGTCTTTGAAAAGCGAGCCAGTCCCATGCTATGTACACAACTCCAGCAATATGGCAAATTATGTATTTTGGAAAATAATCAATGCTATTTACAATATTGGGGAGAAAATCTAAATCCACGAGCCAAGAAGAAAATAAGGTCTCTATGGAGACTAAACACAAAATGAAATAAAATCTTGGGAGACAGAAGTCCAACCCAGGAGCCCAGTGCCTTTGAGTCTATTAGGGAAGCTTGGCCTGCACTCCGGGCCTACTAGGAACAAAACCGTGTCCTAAAGACTGGGGGCTTCTCAGCGGGAATATCTGCAAACACGGAAGTGTGCCCCCAGATAAAGGACGAGGTGTGGATTCAGGCGCCTACTGTCACTGCCCCTGTTCAGCATTGTACTGGAGGCACTGGCCAGCCCAGAGGGGCAATAAAAAGCAGTTTATGGATCTGGAAAGTGGGTAAAACTCAGATACGGCATTTGTGTACATAAAAATCCAAAATCTATGAATATGATCTATAAGGTTACAGGGTACAGGTCAATATACAAAAATCAATTGTGTGTGGGGTGGGAAGCTGTGCATACACACATCTCAGCAAATAGAAAACTGCCCTTTATAGTTGTATCCCAAAACATCAGATACTCAGCAATAAATCTCATGAAAGATTGCAGACCACAAATGTTGAAAGAAGATCTAAACAAAGTGATACATTCATGGAAGACTCAACATAATACAAATGTTTGCTCTCTCCAAATTGTTCAAATGCCAATCAAAATCACAGAAAGTTTTATAGTGGAAATTGGCAAGTCTAAAATTTATGTGGATATGCAGCAAAGACCAAAATACAGCTATTTCAATCTTGAAGACTAACAAACCTAGACACCAAGACTTATCCTGAAGCTGGTGTGAGGGAAGATGAACACACAGTGGAAGAGATGAGTCCAGGAACGTCCCGACCTACGTACAGCACCCTGCAGGTCTGTTCAATAATGATGCGTCAACTGGACACAGATACAGGAAAAGATTTCATCTCGACTGCCTATCTGATAGCAGACATAAAAAGCAATTCCAGGTGAATTGTAGAGCTGTATGCTAAAGGTAAACTTTAAAGCCTTTTAGAAAAAAATACATTAGAGAATGTCTTGATGACCTCAGGACATCCAACGATTTATTCAACAGAACCATAAAAGCAGTAGTTATAAAGGGAAAAATCTATTTTAGACTACATGGAAAGGCATGTCACAGGCCTGGGAAGACATCTGGAATATGTAATCTGTTCAAGGAACTTATATCCAGAATACACAAAGAACTACTAAAAATCAGTAAGATACAATGGAATAGAAAAATAGACAACAGACCTGAATGGGCATTTCACAAAAGAGATTATCCACACAGCCACTAAACATAATAAAAGGTGTTCAACTTCATTAGTCACCAGGGAAATGCAAACTGATACCTACTTACCCACCTGCATTTCTGAAATATAAAAAGGAAGGCAATGTCAAGTGTTGGGTGCAACTGAAAAACCTCAGAAGCTGCAGGATGACAGGTAAACTGGGACAAGCATTTTGGAAACCTGAAGATTTTCTCCCCAAAGTATGAAGCTGAGCTCATACTCTGACCCATCATTCACTGCCAACGTCTGTGCACCGAAGGACACAGGACTGTTTGGAGGCACACTATTTGTAACAATCCAAAACTGCAGATGACCAAAATCCCTTCAACAACACAGAAATAATTGTTGTTCCTACAATATAATGCAGTGATGGAAATAAGTGAAGGGCTGCAACAGGCAATGTGGGTCACTGTCACGATGTTCAGCAGGAGATGCCAGACACAAAGGAACACCTGCTGTGTCAATTCCGTTTGGAGTTCGAGAACAGGCACAAATACCTGATGTATAAGTCAGTAAACAAATTATTAAGGGGTAATTTATTTATTTTTCACCATAAAGCCAAAATGGGTCTAAACGTTCAAGGAAGAAATAATGCCAAGTTACACTCTCAGGAAATAGGAAACACTTCCCAATTTATGTTTTATGAGGGGAGCACAGCCCTGACATTGAAGACAAGGATATTCCAAGAAAATATAGAGCAATATCCCTCTCACGAACATAGATGCAAAAACCTTTAATGTCCACAAACTGAACACAGTGTATCAAAGAGCCCGCCATGGCGGTGCGGGCCTTTCCCAGTAACGCAGGACTTGCCCTGACATTCGGGACTGGGCGGTGTACTTCACAGTAACAGACCAATGAAGGAAAGCCCTATGAGCATTTCACTGGGTGCAGAAAAAGCACCGGACAAAATCCACCACCCATTCATAATAAAAACTCAGCAAACTAGAAATAAGAGGAAACTTCCTCAATCTGACAAATATCATTTAAGAAAAAGCTAACATCTTAATGATAAAGTACTTAAGGTGGCCCCCTAAATTCAGGAACAAGACAAGGTACCCATTATCAGGACTTCAAAGCGTTGCACTGAGGGTGTGGCCAGTGCAAGGCCAGGGCGTGCAGACTGAAAAGGACAAGAAACCGTCTGCTTCACAGACAACGAAATTATCCAGAAAATCCAAAGAAATCTACAGAAAAGTTCAAGGAGCAAGGGAGTTAAGCAATATGGCAGTATACAAGGTCATTATACAAGTCAATTTTATTTCTATACATGCAATGAACAGATGGAAAATGAAATTTTAAAAAAATCTTCACGATTTCTAATAGCATCCAAAAACAAAATACCTAAGGACAAATGTAAGTGCAAGACCTCCACACTGAACAGTACAGAACATTGATGAGAAAATGAATGGAGATGGACATCATGTTCCAGGATTGGAAGACTTAATTTTCTGCAAATTGATCACTAAATTCAGTGTAATTCCAATCCCAGATATTTTTATGGAGATTGACAAACTGAGTCTAAAATTTATATGAAAATGAAAAAGATCTTCCTATCATAAAGCATGATAAGTCTGAAGCTGACCAGAGGTTGAAATGTGAACTAAGAAACCATGCAAATTTTGGAAGACAGGGATGAGTTTCCTTAATAACCCAGAAATGAGGAAAACTTCCCAGACAAAATCCAGAATCAGTACAGAAGTAAACTGTTACCAAAACAACATATGGTAGCAAAGAACTCCATGAACAAAGTGTAAGACAAACTGCAAAAGTATTTAGAACAGAATGCAAATTTAAAATGCCTAGAAAACGCCCTCAATCCTATATTTTTAAGATGGGCAAATGACATGACCAGTTTACAGAAAAAGAAAGGCAACTTCCCTTAAACATTAAAAATTTCTCAACCTTGATCATAAGAGAAGTACAAATAAAACTACACCCATCAGACTGACAAAAACCCCAGTGTGAGAGTATTCCCGGTGGGCAAGGCTCGGGGGGAAGGGCCCTCATATCCAGCGATGGTGGGAATGCAAAACAGTCCAGCCGCAGGGGAACCTGGCCGGTCCCTAGCAGTACGCTGCCCCACAACCCCACGTTCAGGAATCCATCTCAAAGGCTCGCTGGCAAACACAAGAAGTTCGCAACGGTCTCCTCTCCACCCACATCACTACCTGACCTAAGGCCGCATCTCACCCGATGCCACCCAGAGCCCGGTGCCCGGTGCTGAGGAGGGCAGAGGCCTGCGGTGCTCACCTAAGAAAGGAGGAGAGGGCCGTGGCTGTGTGTTTTGTTCAGTTAAGGGGAATAAAGGAAGGTCCATTTTTAAAAATAGTTCTTATAAAGGAGTGGGGGTAACAGGGTAGGGGGGCATAGGGATAAAACTTGTCTTCCCTAAGCTGTCCTGTTTTATAGGTTCGACTTTGTAATCATAAATGACAAAAATTAGAGAATGCAATCTCTAAAAATTGAAAGCAAAAAAGTCACACCTTTAACATACAACATTAACATACAACAAAACAGGAAACAACAAGTGTTGGCAAGGATGTGAAGGAAATGGAATCCTTGTGCACTACTGGTGGGAATGTAAAATGGAGCAGCCGTCAGGGAACACAGCCTAACAGTCCCTTGGAAAATTAAACACAATTACCACCGGTCCAGCCATTCCAGTTCTGGCCACAAATGCAAAAGAAGTGAAAGTGGCAACTCAAGTATATTTGCACCCCGATGCTCACAGAGGCAATTCACCACAGCCTTTCGGTGACAACAATCCGAAGGTCCATCTACAGATGAATCCATAAAATGTTTAGCAGCAAAGTGTTACAATGAATGGATAAACAAAATGTTTACACCAATTAAAATTATTCAGAGTGTGAGAATATCTTCATGACTTCCAAACAAAATGGATCTTTTAGGACACAACGCACAGTTCTTGAATTTGGTAAAATATGACACAAAGGAGTCCATAAGCAATTTAAACAAAAAATGACTAAACACAAATCAAAAAAATTGTTTAAAAGCCATGGCAAAAACCCATGTATGTGTGCACAAGGAGATACACAGAGCTTCATTACCAAAGATAATAATAATAAAAGTAGGGCAGTATTGTATCAGACAAAATGAAACTTTAAGTGTTTATTTCCACAAAGCAGAACATTTCACATTAAAAAAAAGGATTTCCCACGAAGACTGCAGTGGTGCGCGCGCTGCCAGCAGTGCTGGGACGCACTGCGCCTGGGGCTGAGCCCACGCAGCAGGCCAAGGGAGCCCCGGGGGAGACGTGACCCGCCAGCTCCCCGCCGCCCCCCGCTGCCCCCGGCTCAGGCTCGCTAGCAGGGGAAGGTAAGTTCAACAAGATACTGACCACCTTCCGACGTGGCCCTTGTGCAGAGGCCGGGGCTGCGGGAGAGGGGCTCGCTCCGGGCGCGGGCCCGGGTCGTCAGCTCCGCCGCGGGGCGCCCCGGGGCAGCCTCTCGAAGCGCGGGGTCCGCCTGGAAGGTCCCGCCCCCGCCGAGCCCGCGGTGCCAGGGCCCGCAGCTCTGCCACCAAGGTCACACGAACCCACACCCTCCCCGGACGCCCCCCTGCAGGCGCCCAGAAACCAATCGCCAGGGTCACACGAACCCACACCCTCCCCGGACGTCCCCCTGCAGGCGCCCAGAAACCACACGGGACACTGAGGTGCGGGCGGCCGCGGCCGGCGTGATGCGCTCTAGGTGGGCAGCGGCCCGCGCGCGCGCAGCTCGAGCAGCGGGGACAGCGCGTAGCGCAGGCGGCGGAGGGCGGCGTGCGAGCGGAGGCGCGGGAGCGCGCGGCGGAGGGCGGCGGGCTTCACCGCCACCGGGAGGACCAGCGGCAGCGCCAGGAAGCCGAGCGCGAGCAGCAGCAGCCCCAGCGCCCACAGCCTGCGGGCAGACCGACGAACGGACAGGTGACGGGCGGGGGCTGCGCAGGGCGCGGCGCAGGGGCGGACCCGAGCCCAGGCGCCCGCCAGCCGCTCACCTGCTGCCTGCCGAGCCCGCGCCCCCGAACAGCCGCTTCTCCTGCGGGGGGAGGGAGCGGGATCCAGCTCGGGGCCGGGGCGCGGCGCGGGGCCCCGTGCGAGGAGGGTCCCGACTCCAGCACCCCCCAGCCCCACCCGCCGCGCGCTCACACAGTCGGCCTTGGCCACCTCCTCCATGAGCGAGCAGTCCTGCACCCGGCGAGGCTGTGAGCCGCATCTGCGGGGTCAGGCATCAGTCTAAGTGGGCGACGCGCCCCGGGCCCACAGCCTCCCCGCCCGCCACACCCAGCAGTCCTAACCCCTTACCGCTCCGGGCCGTCGCGCGAGGCGTCCAGCGCAGCCGCCGCCTCCATCACCTTCCCCTGCAGCTCCTGGCGGAGATGGGAGTGAGGCCTCAGGACGGGGAGGTCTCGAAGGGGCCGGGGGCGGCCGCAGCCCGGGGAGGAGGGCCGGAGGCCGCCGGTGGGGTCGGGGGGAGCGCTCTCGGCGCGGGGCGGGGCGGCACCTGCAGGACTCCGCTCTGCTCCTGGAAGCTGGCCCAGGCCTCCTCCGTCCGCTGCGCGCCCTGCGGGGCGGGAGCCCTTACACTCGGGAGACACACCCCCTCCGGCCTCCCGCCCCTCCCCGCAGGCCCGGCTCTGTCCGCACCTGCCGCAGGCTCTCCGCCTGCCTGGCGTGCTTGGCCTCCACCAGCTCCAGCTGTTTCTTCCGGAAAATCCCAGGAACGTCAGGAGGGCGTCCTGCCGCTCCCCCCGCCGAGCCTCGGGGCCACGCCCAACGCCGCTCACCCCGACCCGCCCCCCCCCGCCCAAGTCTCTCGGGCTCTGCCCGCGCCGCCCCAGCGGCCGTCGGGGCCCCACCCGAGCACCTGCAAAGCCATCAGTTGGGTCCCAAGGTGCCGCTCCGCGCGCTGCTGTCTCAGCTGGTCCGCTCCGTAATAGAAGAGCTGCGGGTGGGGCTTGTGAGGGCGGGCTTTGCGGCTCCTGGGGCGGGGGACGACCTGGGGGGCGGGGACGGGGGGCCTGGGGGCGGGCACTGGGGGCGGGAAATGAGACGGGCCCGTACCTGACTGGACAGCTCTTCCCACTGCTCCTGCAGCTGCAGGTTCTGCTGCTCCTGCGGACAGGTCGCGGGTGCGGTCCGGCCTTTCCGATGCCCGCCCCGCCCCACCCAGGGCCCTGTCCCCGCCCCCTCCCGCCCCACGCAGGGCCGCGCCCCCACCAGGTCGCTCTGGCGCCGCTCGGCCGCCTCCAGCAGTCCGCGCGCCTGCTCCGCGTGCTGCCGCGCCGCCTCGCGTGCCTCCCGTCGCAGGGTCCGCGCCGTCTGGCTTCGCCTGCCCTGCAGGCTACAGAGGAGAAACTGAGGCAGTTGCCACGGCGGGAGGCGGCGGGTGTTCAGACTCCCGTGGCCCCGAGGAAGGCATAGCCGCAGGTCGCTTGTCGCCACAGCCTCGAATTCGGAGGTCCCCTGAGCCAATGGCCCTGGTCCCGCCCTCCTAGAACGAGGTCCGGGCCTGGGCGGGGCGGACGAACCGACGGGGCCGCGGGACGCCCTGCGAAGCCCCGAGTGCCCCGCTAGTGGAGCCGCGTTGTCCGCGCAACGGCCGCACCTGCGCTCGCGCTCGCGCAGGTCCTGCAGGCGCCCAGTGAGGCTCTCGCTCTCGGCCTCGAGCCCGCGCACCAGCTCCTCCAGCTCCTGCTTCCGCAGGCGCCCGTCGCGGTTGTCCTTCCGCAGCTGCAGGAGCTGCTCCTGCATCTCAGCGCCGGCTCCCGGGGCTCTGCCCACGGCCTCCCGCCGCGGGACCCGGTTTGCGGCCGGCGTCACAATGGGCGGCAGGGGGCGCCCGCTCAGTAGCCCTTTGAAGGAATGTTACGGAGGAGCCACAATTGGATCAAAAAAGGATTATTAGCACTTGACTACCGATCAATCTCTCTTGTGGAAAAGGCTTGGAAATACATATCAGGATCCATTAACATGTTCACATGTATTGATCCCGTTATCCCACTCCTCAAAATTCATGCCGGGAAGAAAAACAATTTTTAAAAACCAGTGTGTATTAAATGGTCCATTGAAGTGGTTACAGTACAGTAATCACACAAAAGGGAAACAATTGTGATTATTAAAATAATCTATTACATGGCATGCATAGATGATGTCTAGTGGAAAAAATATGATTTAGCATTTATACTAAAATAACTATGATTATAAAGAAGATGGACAAGATCTTTAACTGAAACAGGAGGACAAGCTGTTTCATTGTTTGGTGAGACTGTAGGTAAACTTGTCCTTTTAAAATCTGCCTTTATTTGGCTGATTTCAATGATGAACTTGGATGCCAAAATCCTAAATAAAGTATTTACTAGCCACACCCCAAGGGGTACATTGAAAGGTACTTGGAAACCAACCAGAGTTTATTCCAGGGATTGTTCAAGATCAGAAAATTGATGTTCCCCACAGACAGGAGGAAGGACACCACCATTCAGCGGTGCGTTTCAGCAGACGCAGAGTTTGACAGAGTTCAGCATCTACTGATGGTTTTAAAAGGTATTTTGAAAGAGGGATAGAAAGGGACTCTCTAACCTAATGAAGGCTACTTAGTAAACAGAGTAGAGGAAGTATTAGCAGCTTCCCTTAAAGATTTTAAGAGAACAGTGACCCTCCTAGTAAGTTCTAATAAAGTGCTAGAGGACCTGCAAGAAGGAAGAAAAAGACGTAGAAAAGTCTGAAGAGTTTGTCTACCCTAAAGCTACCCCTGTCCAGTTCCTTCTTGGCAATACAAGCCCCTTAGGGCATCTCTTTGCCAAGGGCCTTGTTCTTCTGGGGCAGCAGGCCCATCCTTTGCTAGTCCCAGGCGTAAAGCAGGACTGGTCTAAACCCATCCCTGGCTGTCTTGCTTCCCTGTGAAACTCAAGGGGTGTCAGCTGGGGTTTTCTGGGAGGCGTGCCTCACTACAAAAAGAGATACTGGGGAGATATCTTGTTGCTGCTTATTGATGTTGTCTTCATGTGATGCCTGCAATCGCTGCAGCCACCGTGTAAGCATGAGGGGCCTAAAAGAACAAGTCAATCTGTTCTATCTTGTGGTATCGCTCTTAGATTTTCCCTCACCTCTCCTGGGCCAGAACTAGGGCACATGCTCATTCCTCGAGCAGCCACCAGCAAATGGGAATGGGGCCAAGGTGAAGGTACAAAGGATGCTGAGGAGGCATCCCCATGGCCACATGACAGATGGTGCTGGGAAAGCTGGCTCATGATAAGAGAAATAAAACAAGATCCCTACATCAAATTCTACATAAAAGACAACACGACAAGGATCAGAGACTTAAATTGGGTAGTCGTAGATTTGGGACTTTGGTTCAGGGAAAGATTTCTTAAACACAGCCTCTGGAGGGAAACTGATGGACTGGGCTCTGTCAAACTTAGGGATTCCTGCTTATGGAGAGCACCATGGCACCAGCAGTACTGCATCCTGACTGGAGGTGACTGGGGCACCATACCCAAGTGTAGGCAGTAGTCAAAACTCATCAGATGGAATTCTTAAGATCTGTGTATTTTACTGCATATAATCACACACTTAAAAACAATCCACTTAGACAAGTAATGACTCTATGGCATCTTACTATGCTAATGGACGGTGATTGCAATGGGGTTGGGGGGGACTTGATAATATGGGTGAATGTTTAAACCACAATGTTGCTCATGTGAAATCTTCATAAGATTGTATATCAATGATACCTTGGTTTAAAATAATAATAATAATAAAACGGTCCACTTGGAACAAAAGACACCATGGACAGATGTTCTAAGTGGATGATAGAATGGAAAAAGACCTGTGCAAACTTTGTAATCAAATGATTAATAACTAAAATATATAGGAAATCCTGGGCCCAATCCAAGAAAGACCAAACGTGGAAGAGCAAAGGGTCTGATCGGGCAACGCCCTGTGGGGAAGCCTTCCACACCCAGCAGAGTACAGACGGCACTTCCCTTCCCCAGGCAGCCAGGATTAAGACGATGGTTAACGTCCCATATGAGCAATGAGCTGAGTACACACAGGTCCTTGAGCGCTGACACCAGCACCATCCACGGGCCATTTGGGGGACCAGTTGGGTAGGAACATTGACCAGGTATGGCGGCCCTCCACAACCCACAGCTCCACAGAGGAAGTTTCTTACATGTTCTCAAAGCACTGGGAACAGTAGTCCTCTGCCTGTGGTGTGGGACTGAGTGAAATGTGTTCTATGAACTTAATATTTAAGGGAATCCAGTAGAGAAGTTAAAATGGGCTAGGAGCTGCTAAAATCAACACAAAGAGACCTGAAAATAATGTTGACAGTAAAAAAAACAGGAAATAGAATGAGCTGTACCCATGATAGCAGTGACATAAACTATAACGCGCAGGGGTGAGTCCCAGGGGCCACCCAGGACGAGGAGAAGGACCCGGGTGGGAAGAGGGGATGGTGTACGGGCCGGGGAGGGGGTCTAAGGTCCCGCATGCTGTTCCCCAGGGCCGGCAGCGGGTCACCAGAAGGGCAGGCTCTCGGGGGAGCTGAGGAAGCCCACTGCAACCAGGGGCTGGGCCTCCCTCCACTCATGGTGAGACATGTAAGCAAGACTGAGGTCGCTTGGTTACTTACAGTAGATTAAAAATGACCCCAGTTTCTCTGTCTTTCTGCCAACAGGAGCTGGAGTCTGCATTCCAGAACAGGAGTCTTGTTCTGACAATAGAAGGAGGCAGAACTGACCTGGGAGCCTGGGCCTCTGAGCCCTGGCAGCCCCACCTGCCCTCTGAGGACGAAGGGAAGAAGCCCTGGGAGCTGGCGGCCAGAAGCACCCACCTCCCGTGCAATGCAGCCAGATCAGACCATGCGGCTCCCGGATACCCCGAGAAGATGGCAGACCCCAGGCAAGATCTGCAGAAATGTGCAGAGCCCAGCTGGGCCCAGGTCAATTTGCTGCCCCAAGAGAATCAAAAGCAAATGAATTGGGTTTTGGGGTGGTATGTTTTGTTTGCAGCACGAGGTCTGCTGTGTGACAGAGGATTACTAGATGTTTGGATTGCTAGCAAAGGATTACTAGTTACCAGATGGCACTCATATGAATGTGACACCAAGCAGTGACCAGGTCATGGGGTAGGGTGACTTTACACTGGTTACTTTGGGCATCTCATGTGTTGGAATCTGTCCCCTGGAAGTCCAAAGTGACCCCCAGGTGGGGCAGGGGTGGGCTTGGGGGCAGAGTGGGCAGCGTAGCTGTGTCTCCCTCAGCAGACTCGGGACCCTGTGAAGTCAGCGGGGGAAGGCGCGTTCCCCCTCTTCAGCTGCCTGTTCTGGGGATAGAGCATTTCTGCCCTGTTCTGTAAGTACTGTCTCGGGCTTCCTATGAATGAATGTTCTGTCATTTTCAAATACGTTAAATACATTTATCAAGGCTATACCTATGTAGTTTGTATTTTCTGTTACTATTATGAAAAGACTTCTAAAAAATTCTATTTTCTAAATGGCAATTGTGGTGTTACGGGTTGAATTGTGGCCACCAAATTCATCTTTTAGGACCAAATTAAGATCTCAGTACCTCAGAATGTGACCTTATTTGGAAACAGAGCCATTGTGCATGTAATTCATTAAGATGAAATCATATTGCAGAGGGGGGGCCACCCTCATCCCTGCCCCACCTGGGGTTCATCTTTGACATCTAGGGGACAGATTCCAGCATAAGAGATGCCAGAAATAACAAATGAAATTCATTTATATGAAATAATACATGCTGACAAGTCATCTCCTGGGAGCACAGAGCTGGCCCTGTGGGCGACATTGCATCTCCGCAGCCCGGCAGGATCCCTTTCACCTTCAGGTCAGCCTGTGTGCTCCTCAAGACCCCTGCCCATGCCAGGCAGGCATCTGGATCCCATTTTACAGATGGAGAAATTGAGGTCTGGTGATGACAGGTGCACCTTCCCTCCCCTCTGCCCCACACTCACCTGGGTTTGGGGGAGAGGCTGGAAGCCAGCACGGAGCCACGATGGGTGGTAACATTGGCCTAGCCCCCGTGTGCCCCAGGAGGAGGGGATGGACCTTCTGGGGCTGTGCTCCAGGCAGGGCATCTGTGGAGCAGCCTGTCCCAGCCCCGGTCGTGTGAGGCCGGGACGGCCTCTGCGGGGAGAACCCAGCACTGCCTTGCCTGAAGGCTGAGCTGCTTCCCCTCAGCCCTGGAGGTGGGTGACACTAGTTCCGGAACAGCCCCTCCTGGCTCCGGTGCCTCCAGGCCCCGCTGGGAACTGCCCAGCATGGCCAAGGCCACAGCCTCTTTGCTGGCCCACAGCCCTGCCCAAAGCACCAGCCTTCCTCCCTCCCGGGCCAGCTGGCCCGTGTCTGCCCTTCCTCCAGGCTCAGGTTCAAGGCCCTCCTCTCCGTGGCCTCCCTCCACCAGGCTGGGTTAGGGGCCACCTCCTCTGAGACATCTGCTTCCCAGGCATCCATCAGGGTCACGCTGGACAGACTCTATGCATCCCACTAAAGGCCACACAGAGCAGGGGGGAGGGCACTGCCCACCAGACGACCACCTTGCAGGACGCCAGAGGTTTTAGTGTTTTGATACTTTCCAAATGACAGTTGATTATAAACAGCCTAGTGTGTGTAGGCTGCCCTTTCCCCAATGTTTATGAATATTCGGGATTTATGAAATTTGTAAATTTATGAAAATGTCCAATCATATACAAAAGCTGAGAGAATTTTAAAGTGAACCTCCAGCAACCCAGGCCCCACAGTTTGCTTGCTGCCAGCACAGCCACCCAGCAGTCCCTCTGAAGGAAGCGCCAGCGTCAGTTCCTGGCTGGTGGCCGGCTTGTGGCCCCCTCTGCCCTCCTCTGTGGCTGAATATAGTAATTTCATATTTATTGCCTAGTCTTGTGAGAACATCTATATGATGCTAGAAGATCAATACATGTCTGATAAGAGAAAGAACAATTATAAAAACTATGTCATGCGGGCCCTCTTTATTTGTATTTGAAGTTTTTATTTTGCCCAATAATAGAAAAAAGATTTAAGTAAACTATGACAGATCAAATATTGGAGGAGTTTGCTGAAAACAACTCTGTGGTAAAAAAGGTTAGGTAGTTTTAAGCAACAAACACAAACATCACATTAACTTAAATAATAGAATCTAAAATCTTTTGCGTGGCATTCAAAGTCCTCCGATGCCCGGGCCCTGCCTGCCTCCCCAGGCTCTTCTTGCCACTTCCCTGCTGCAGCCAAAGTGAACCCATCTCAGTGCCTTAAACAAATCACAGAGTTCGTGCCTCGGTGCTCCCATACGCGGTGCCCTGCCCGGGGAACCTTCCCTCCAGACCCTTGGCCCCGCCCTCCCGAGGGCGCGGCGTCTGCGGCCCCGCCCGCCCAGCTCCCCCCGCTCCCGCCCGGGACCTGCCGTCCCTGCTGAACGCGCAGTTTCCCGAGACGGACTAGTTGCCTCTGAAGATCAGATGACAAGACGTCTCGTTTGACCCTTTTGTGCATCTAGAGGGTTTTAAAGGCTTTTTTCCTGCTTGACATTTGTTGCTTGTATCGTAAGAAAAAAAGATATTTGTAATTGGAAGGAGGAAAGCTCGACAGCCACCGCACGTGACAGAGCCCGGCCAAGGACCCGCGCGGCCCGCCTGGTTTCCCGGCCGGAGCGCCGCTCGCGGGGCGCCGTGCGGACCTGACCGAGGCCCGCCCCGCGCGCCCCGCGGGGGGACCAGGGCCTCCTGCAGCCAGGCTCCCTCTGGACGGAGGCAGGACCCCCACCCCCCGTCAAAGCCCCTGCTCCGGGCGGGGTCCCTGCCCTTCTCGCCGGCTGGGGAAGGCGGACACCGTGCCCCCATCCTCCGGGGCCTCCCGGGTCACAGCCCCCTGGGGAGACAGCTAATCCTAGGTTTTCTTTGCTGCACCAAGCCAGGCGACCCTGCGTGTCCACGGTGGCCTCCCTGCCCCCCGCCCCGCTGCTCCTCCTCCGGCCCCTCCCCCACGCGGAGGTCCCGCCCAGGGCCCGAGGTCTCTGCAGGCGAGGTCCGGATGCCATCTGGATGGGCTCCCCCTGCCCCGCAACTCCCTGCTCCGCATGCCCACCAGGAGGTCGGCGGCACCGCTGCTGCCACCACACTGACCCCATGCTGGCCCCACGCTGGCCCCATGCTGCCCCCTCTCCTCCAGCTGTTGTCCTGATTCCTCGTGTCTTCTCACCCTTTCTCCAGCTTGTCCCTGGTCCTGGGGCCCTTCCATCGCAAATTACTGCCCAACCTGTCTGTCGCTCTTCTGCGCCAGTAAATGGGATGTCATCTACCTTGTCAACGCTCTTAAAAGAGTAAATGAGCCGGTATTTGCAAAGTGCTCAGAACAGTGCTGGTATACAGCAAGTGACACACAAGCGTTTGCTCCGGAAATTTGAACACAGAACAAATTCTGACTTCTGACCACCTTCAGTGCCATTACTCTGGACTAGATCGTTCCAAAATTTCCTAAGTAGTTGGTCTGCTCCCCACAGTAGCCAGAGGGACCCGCACTCGGGCAAAAGCCCACACACACCCCCCCCGCAGACGCCCAGGCCCAGCACGCGTGCACCGTTCCCTCCTGGGAGCCCGGGAACCTGCCTCCTGCAGCTCGGCAGTCTGCCCGCCCGCTCGCCCGCCCGCCCCAGGGCCTTTGAGACTGCTCCTCTCTGCCAGCCCGTCCCTCACACGCTTCACCCAAAGCCCCGCTGCTCAGCAAAGCCTTTCCTGGCGACCCTGCCCCAAACTGCAACTCCCTCCTGGCAGTGCGGCTTTCCCGTGCCCGCCCCAGATACGTTTCCTACCATCTGTACCGTCTCCACCGCTGGAACAGGAGCTTGACTAGGTCAGAGCCTGGCACATATTTATGTGTCTGATGGACACGTGGACAGCCTTTTTCCACTGCAGAGATGTGGCATCTTGCCCCAAACCATAGACCACGATCGGAAGAGCGGGCATTCAGACGCTGACAGGTGTGGCCCAAAGCCACGCTCTTCCTCTGACCCACAGCCAGCCCCTTGCTGTCTGCCAGAACCTCCCACTGCTCCCATGCCCTCCCTCTGCCCCGCATAGGGACACGCTTGGACGCGGGTGCCCGAGCCACCTGTCCTGCCTGGCTGGATCACTATCACTGCAGCCCGGAGCAGCTCCACCTCCTACCAAGAGGCAGAGGCTGGTGGACGGCTACCTCCCGCTGCTCCTGACCGCTGGGTCCCCTCGGCAGACAGGCTGTGTAGGACACGGGAAGGTGAGATCTCAAGGGGTCTGCTGACAGCCCACTGGTGAGAGCCGGGAAGTGGGGACAGAGCTGCCCACTTCCTGGGAGGCACACCGAGTCCTGGAGAACAGGGCGCCCAGTGTCTCCCACCGCCTGAGAAAGCCACCACCTCATAAAAAAGATATTTGTAATTGGAAGGAGGAAAGCTCGACAGCCACCGCACGTGACAGAGCCCGGCCAAGGACCCGCGCGGCCCGCCTGGTTTCCCGGCCGGAGCGCCGCTCGCGGGGCGCCGTGCGGACCTGACCGAGGCCCGCCCCGCGCGCCCCGCGGGGGGACCAGGGCCTCCTGCAGCCAGGCTCCCTCTGGACGGAGGGAGGACCCCCACCCCCCGTCAAAGCCCCTGCTCCGGGCGGGGTCCCTGCCCTTCTCGCCGGCTGGGGAAGGCGGACACCGTGCCCCCATCCTCCGGGGCCTCCCGGGTCACAGCCCCCTGGGGAGACAGCTAATCCTAGGTTTTCTTTGCTGCACCAAGCCAGGCGACCCTGCGTGTCCACGGTGGCCTCCCTGCCCCCCGCCCCGCTGCTCCTCCTCCGGCCCCTCCCCCACGCGGAGGTCCCGCCCAGGGCCCGAGGTCTCTGCAGGCGAGGTCCGGATGCCATCTGGATGGGCTCCCCCTGCCCCGCAACTCCCTGCTCCGCATGCCCACCAGGAGGTCGGCGGCACCGCTGCTGCCACCACACTGACCCCATGCTGGCCCCACGCTGGCCCCATGCTGCCCCCTCTCCTCCAGCTGTTGTCCTGATTCCTCGTGTCTTCTCACCCTTTCTCCAGCTTGTCCCTGGTCCTGGGGCCCTTCCATCGCAAATTACTGCCCAACCTGTCTGTCGCTCTTCTGCGCCAGTAAATGGGATGTCATCTACCTTGTCAACGCTCTTAAAAGAGTAAATGAGCCGGTATTTGCAAAGTGCTCAGAACAGTGCTGGTATACAGCAAGTGACACACAAGCGTTTGCTCCGGAAATTTGAACACAGAACAAATTCTGACTTCTGACCACCTTCAGTGCCATTACTCTGGACTAGATCGTTCCAAAATTTCCTAAGTAGTTGGTCTGCTCCCCACAGTAGCCAGAGGGACCCGCACTCGGGCAAAAGCCCACACACACCCCCCCCGCAGACGCCCAGGCCCAGCACGCGTGCACCGTTCCCTCCTGGGAGCCCGGGAACCTGCCTCCTGCAGCTCGGCAGTCTGCCCGCCCGCTCGCCCGCCCGCCCCAGGGCCTTTGAGACTGCTCCTCTCTGCCAGCCCGTCCCTCACACGCTTCACCCAAAGCCCCGCTGCTCAGCAAAGCCTTTCCTGGCGACCCTGCCCCAAACTGCAACTCCCTCCTGGCAGTGCGGCTTTCCCGTGCCCGCCCCAGATACGTTTCCTACCATCTGTACCGTCTCCACCGCTGGAACAGGAGCTTGACTAGGTCAGAGCCTGGCACATATTTATGTGTCTGATGGACACGTGGACAGCCTTTTTCCACTGCAGAGATGTGGCATCTTGCCCCAAACCATAGACCACGATCGGAAGAGCGGGCATTCAGACGCTGACAGGTGTGGCCCAAAGCCACGCTCTTCCTCTGACCCACAGCCAGCCCCTTGCTGTCTGCCAGAACCTCCCACTGCTCCCATGCCCTCCCTCTGCCCCGCATAGGGACACGCTTGGACGCGGGTGCCCGAGCCACCTGTCCTGCCTGGCTGGATCACTATCACTGCAGCCCGGAGCAGCTCCACCTCCTACCAAGAGGCAGAGGCTGGTGGACGGCTACCTCCCGCTGCTCCTGACCGCTGGGTCCCCTCGGCAGACAGGCTGTGTAGGACACGGGAAGGTGAGATCTCAAGGGGTCTGCTGACAGCCCACTGGTGAGAGCCGGGAAGTGGGGACAGAGCTGCCCACTTCCTGGGAGGCACACCGAGTCCTGGAGAACAGGGCGCCCAGTGTCTCCCACCGCCTGAGAAAGCCACCACCTCAATCCTCGTGGCTACTGCAGGCTTCTGATGGTCACAACCAACCGTGCCACACACCTGTGCTGTGGCCATGGCGACCGTGCACTATGACAGTGACAGGGAACCCATGCAAGTGGCCAGAGCATGGTGCGGCCCCTGTGGGAGGTGTGCTCAACTGCAGGACGTGTGACCCCAGCAGGCGCTGAGAGCGGAGAGCGTCTGAACCCCGAGGAACAAGGCTGTGAGCAGGGCTAAGAGCACTGGGGTCACCGCCCCGAGGAAGGAAGAGGCTGAGGACGGGGCCTGCCTTTTGGCAAGGATGCGGGCAGGGGCTGCACACGGCACATGGGTCCCCATTAGGGGCTGAGCTGTGTCCCCCTGAGTTATT